TCAGGGATGCTAACTGTGATTTGTGATCAGGGATGCTAACTGAGATGTGTGATCAGGGATGCTAACTGTGATTTATGATCAGGGATGCTAATTGTGATGTTTGGTCTCAGATGCTAACTGTGATGTGTGATCAGGGATGCTAACTGAGATGTGTGATCAGGGATGTTAACTGTGATTTGTGGTCAGAGATGCTAACTGTGATGTGTGGTCAGATATGCTAACTGTGATGTGTGATCAGGGATGTTAACTGTGATGTGTGGTCAGGGATGTTAACTGTGATGTGTGATCAGGGATGCTAACTGTGATTTGTGATCAGGGATGCTAACTGTGATGTGTGGTCAGGGATGCTAACTGTGATGTGTGATCAGGGATACTAACTGTGATGTGTGGTCAGGGATGTTAACTGAGATATGTGATCAGGGATGTTAACTGAGATATGTGACCAGAGATGCTAACTGTGATTTGTGGTCAGGGATGCTAACTGAGATATGTGGTCAGGGATGCTAACTGTGATGTGTGATCAGGGATACTAACTGTGATGTGTGGTCAGGGATGTTAACTGTGATGTGTGACCAGGGATGTTAACTGTGATGTGTGGTCAGGGATGCTAACTGTGATGTGTGATCAGGGATACTCACTGTGATGTGTGGTCAGGGATGTTAACTGAGATATGTGATCAGGGATGTTAACTGAGATATGTGGTCAGAGATGCTAACTGTGATGTGTGGTCAGGGATGCTAACTGAGATATGTGATCAGTGATGGTAACTGAGATATGTGATCAGGGATGTTAACTATGATGTGTGATCAGGGATGTTAACTGTGATGTGTGGTCAGGGATGTTCACTGAGATGTGTGATCAGGGATACTAACTGAGATGTGTGATCAGGGATGTTAACTGTGATGTGTGGTCAGGGATGTTCACTGAGATGTGTGATCAGGGATACTAACTGAGATGTGTGATCAGGGATGTTAACTGTGATTTGTGGTCAGAGATGCTAACTGTGATGTGTGATCAGGGATGCTAACTGTGATGTGTAATCAGGGATGCTAACTGTGATGTGTGGTCAGGGATGCTAACTGTGATGTGTCATCAGGGATACTAACTGAGATGTGTGATCAGGGATGTTAACTGTGATGTGTGGTCAGAGATGCTTACTGTGATGTGTGATCAGGGATACTAACTGAGATGTGTGATCAGGGATGTTAACTGTGATTTGTGGTCAGAGATGCTAACTGTCATGTGTGGTCAGGGATGCTAACTGTGATGTGTGGTCAGGGATGTTAACTTTGATGTGTGGTCAGGGATGCTTACTGTGATGTGTGATCAGGGATGTTAACTGTGATGTGTGATCAGGGATGCTAACTGTGATGTGTAGTCAGGGATATTAACTGTGATGTGTGATCAGGGATGCTAACTGAGATATGTGGTCAGGGATATTAACTGTGATGTGTGATCAGGGATGTTAACTGTGATGTGTGGTCAGAGATGCTTACTGTGATATGTGATCAGGGATACTAACTGAGAAGTGTGATCAGGGATGTTAACTGTGATTTGTGGTCAGAGATGCTAACTGTGATGTGTGATCAGGGATGCTAACTGTGATGTGTAATCAGGGATGCTAACTGTGATGTGTGGTCAGGGATGCTAACTGTGATGTGTGATCAGGGATGTTAACTGTGATGTGTGATCAGTGATGCTAACTGTGATGTGTGGTCAGGGATGTTAACTGTGATGTGTGGTCAGTGATGTTAACTGTAATGTGTGGTCAGTGATGCTAACTATGATGTGTGGTCAGGGATGTTAACTGTGATGTGTGATCAGTGATGTTAACTGTGATGTGTGGTCAGGGATGTTAACTGTGATGTGTGGTCAGGGATGCTAACTGTGATGTGTGGTCAGGGATGTTAACTGTGATGTGTGGTCAGTGATGTTATCTGTGATGTGTGATCAGTGATGCTAACTGTGAAGTGTGGTCAGGGATGCTAACTGTGATGTGTGATCAGGGATGTTAACTGTGATGTGTAATCAGGGATGTTAATTGTGATGTGTGGTCAGTGATGTTAACTGTGATGTGTGGTCAGGGATATTAACTGTCATGTGTGATCAGGGATGCTAACTGTCATGTGTGATCAGGGATGTTCACTGTGATTTGTGGTCAGGGATGCTAACTGTGATGTGTGGTCAGGTATGCTAACTGTGATGTGTGATCAGGGATGTTAACTGTGATGTGTGATCAGTGATGCTAACTGTGATGTGTGGTCAGGGATGTTAACTGTGATGTGTGGTCAGGGATGTTAACTGTGATGTGTGGTCAGGGATGTTAACTGTGATGTGTAATCAGGGATGCTAACTGTGATGTGTGATCAGGGATGTTCACTGTGATTTGTGGTCAGGGATGCTAACTGTGAGGTGTGGTCAGGGATGCTAACTGTGATGTGTGATCAGTGATGCTAACTGTGATGTGTGGTCAGGGATGTTAACTGTGATGTGTGGTCAGGGATGTTAACTGTGATGTGTGGTCAGGGATATTAACTGTGATTTGTGATCAGGGATGTTAACTGTGATTTGTGGTCAGGGATATTAACTGTGATTTGTGGTCAGGGATGTTAACTGTGATGTGTGGTCAGGGATTTTAACTGTGATTTGTAGTCAGGGATGTTAACTGTATTGTGTGCTCAGAGATGCTAACTGTGATGTGTGATCAGTGATGCTAACTGTGATGTGTGGTCAGGGATGTTAACTGTGATTTGTGGTCAGGGATGCTAACTGTGATGTGTGGTCAGGGATATTAACTGAGATGTGTGATCATGGATGTAAACTGTGATTTGTGGTGAGAGATGCTAACTGTGATGTGTGATCAGGGATGCTAACTGAGATGTGTGATCAGGGATGTTAACTGTGATGTGTGGTCAGAGATGCTAACTGTGATGTGTGATCAGGGATGCTAACTGTGATGTGTAATCAGGGATGCTAACTGTGTTGTGTGGTCAGGGATGCTAACTGTGATGTGTGATCAGGGATGTTAACTGTGATGTGTGATCAGTGATGCTAACTGTGATGTGTGGTCAGGGATGTTAACTGTGATGTGTGATCAGTGATGTTAACTGTGATGTGTGGTCAGGGATGTTAACTGTGATGTGTGGTCAGGTATGTTAACTGTGATGTGTGGTCAGGGATGTTAACTGTGATGTGTGATCAGGGATGCTAACTGTGATGTGTGGTCAGGGATATTAACTGAGATGTGTGATCAGGGATGTTAACTGTGATGTGTGATCAGGGATGCTAACTGTGATGTGTGATCAGGGATGTTAACTGTGATGTGTGGTCAGGGATGCTAACTGAGATGCGTGGTCAGGGATGCTAACTGAGATATGTGATCAGTGATGTTAATTGTGATATGTGACCAGGGATGTTAATTGTGATGTGTGGTCAGGGATGTTAACTGTGATGTGTGATCAGGGATGCTAACTGTGATATGTGATCAGGGATGCTAACTGCCATGTGTGATCAGAGATGCTAACTGTGATGTGTGATCAGGGATGTTAACTGTGATGTGTGGTCAGGGATGTTAACTGTGATGTGTGATCAGAGATGCTAACTGTGATGTGTGATCAGGGATGCTAACTGAGATGTGTGATCAGGGATGCTAACTGTGATTTGTGATCAGGGATGCTAATTGTGATGTTTGGTCTCAGATGCTAACTGTGATGTGTGATCAGGGATGCTAACTGAGATGTGTGATCAGGGATGTTAACTGTGATTTGTGGTCAGAGATGCTAACTGTGATGTGTGGTCAGAGATGCTAACTGTGATGTGTGATCAGGGATGTTAACTGTGATGTGTGGTCAGGGATGTTAACTGTGATGTGTGATCAGGGATGCTAATTGTGATTTGTGATCAGGGATGCTAACTGTGATGTGTGGTCAGGGATGCTAACTGTGATGTGTGATCAGGGATACTAACTGTGATGTGTGGTCAGGGATGTTAACTGAGATATGTGATCAGGGATGTTAACTGAGATATGTGATCAGAGATGCTAACTGTGATTTGTGGTCAGGGATGCTAACTGAGATATGTGGTCAGGGATGCTAACTGAGATGTGTGATCAGGGATGCTAACTGAGATGTGTGATCAGGGATGCTAACTGTCATGTGTGATCAGGGATGCTAACTGTCATGTGTGATCAGGGATGTTCACTGTGATGTGTGATCAGGGATTCTCACTGTGATGTGTGATCAGGGATGTTAACTGTGATGTGTGATCAGGGATGTTAACTGTGATGTGTGATCAGGGATGTTAACTGTGATGTGTGATCAGGGATGCTAACTGTGATGTGTGATCAGGGATGTTAACTGTGATGTGTGTTCAGGGATGTTAACTGTGATGTGTGGGCAGGGATGCTAACTGAGATGCGTGATCAGGGATGCTAACTGAGATATGTGATCAGTGATGTTAATTGTGATATGTGACCAGGGATGTTAATTGTGATGTGTGGTCAGGGATGTTAACTGTAATGTGTGATGAGGGATGCTAACTGAGATGTGTGATCAGGGATGCTAACTTTGATTTGTGATCAGGGATGCTTATTGTGATGTGTGGTCAGGGATGCTAACTGTGATGTGTGATCAGGGATGCTAACTGAGATGTGTGATCAGGGATGTTAATTGTGATTTGTGGTCAGAGATGCTAACTGTGATGTGTGGTCAGAGATGCTAACTGTGATGTGTGATCAGGGATGTTAACTGTGATGTGTGACCAGGGATGTTAACTGTGATGTGTGGTCAGGGATGCTAACTGTGATGTGTGATCAGGGATACTCACTGTGATGTGTGGTCAGGGATGTTAACTGAGATATGTGATCAGGGATGTTAACTGAGATATGTGGTCAGAGATGCTAACTGTGATGTGTGGTCAGGGATGCTAACTGAGATATGTGATCAGTGATGGTAACTGAGATATGTGATCAGGGATGTTAACTGTGACAAGGTTTGACTTACCCACGATGTTGATGAGGCCGAACATTAGTCCGGGGTTGGAGACGAGGGTCAGGTAGCTCCCGTCCGTGTTCCCCTCAGGGCCGTCCGTACTACAGGACAGCAGGGTGTACACCTTCTGTATAGACCCTGTAACCAAATACCGTTATCTGTATAGACCCTGTAACCGAACATCGTCACCTGTATAGACCCTGTAATCAAACATCGTCACCTGTATAGACCCTGTAACCAAACATCGTCACCTGTATAGACCCTGTAACCGAACATCGTTATCTGTATAGACCCTGTAACCAAACATCGTCACCTGTATAGACCCTGTAACCAAACATCGTCACCTGTATAGACCCTGTAACCAAACATCGTCACCTGTATAGACCCTGTAACCGAGTGAGTGAGTGAGTGAGTATGGTTTTACGCCGCTTTTAGCAATATTCCAGCAATATCACGGCGGGGGACACCAGAAATGGGCTTCACACATTGTACCCATGTCGGGAATCGAACCCGGGTCTTCGGCGTAACGAGCGAACGCTTTAACCACTAGGCTACCCGACCGCCCCCCCTGAAACCGAACATCGTTATCTGTATAGACCCTATAACCAAACATCGTCACCTGTATAGACCCTGTAACCAAACATCGTCACCTGTATGGACCCTGTAACCGAACATCCTTACCTGTATAGGCCCTGTAACCAAACATCGTCACCTGTATAGACCCTGTAACCAAACATCGTCACCTGTATAGACCCTGTAACCAAACATCGTCACCTGTATGGACCCTGTAACCGAACATCCTTACCTGTATAGGCCCTGTAACCAAACATCGTCACCTGTATAGACCCTGTAACCAAACATCGTCACCTGTATGGGCCCTGTAACCGAACATCCTTACCTGTATAGGCCCTGTAACCAAACATCGTCACCTGTATAGACCCTGTAACCAAACATCGTCACCTGTATAGACCCTGTAACCAAACATCGTCACCTGTATAGACCCTGTAACCAAACATCGTCACCTGTATAGACCCTGTAACCAAACATCGTCACCTGTATAGACCCTGTAACCAAACATCGTCACCTGTATAGACCCTGTAACCGAACATCCTTACCTGTATAGACCCTGTAACGAAACATCGTCACCTGTATAGACCCTGTAACCAAACATCGTCACCTGTATAGACCCTGTAACCAAACATCGTCACCTGTATAGACCCTGTAACCGAACATCCTTACCTGTATAGACCCTGTAACGAAACATCGTTATCTGTATAGACCCTGTAACCAAACATCGTCACCTGTATAGACCCTGTAACCGAACATCGTCACCTGTATAGACCATGTAACTAAACATCGTCACCTGTATAGACCCTGTAACCAAACATGGTCACCTGTATAGACCCCATAGTCAAACACCGTCACCTGTGTAGACCCCATAGTCAAACATCGTCACCTCAATAGACCCCGTAGTCAAATATCGGCGGAGGGTGCTTACCGAGTGGGTTGTCGGGGGAGTCGTCCCCGTACACCTTGAGGAGGAAGATGATCATAACGACGTAGATGATGGCGGTGTTGAAGTAACTGACGTAGAACGTCGCCCCGAGGCCGCCGATGAAGGTGTAACCGCCGATGGTGATGGCCACCAGCGTCGTGGCGTACTCCAGACTGATGTCCTTAACCAGACTCGTGATGACGGCAGCGCCACCTGTGAGTGAGTGAGTGAGTGAGTGAGTGAGTGAGTGAGTGAGTGAGTGAGGTGGTTGTACACGCATACATACCCCTACACCTACACATGCATACACACAGACACATTCACGCATGCATACATATAGACACACGTACAGATACACAAACACACACTCTCTCACACACACACACACGACCCGTGAAGATTCCGGGATAGAATAGGTCTTCAGCAACCCATACTTGCCGTAAAAGGCAATTGCGTGGATCGATGCTCATGCTGTCAATCACTGGATTGTCTGGTCCAGACTCCTTTATTTACAGACCGCCGTCATATAGCTGGAAAAGTGCTGAGTGCGGCGTTAAACAACAAACCAACCACACACACACACACACACACACATATATACACACATAAATGCATATATAGACACACACATACACACACACACATTTTATGAAGTAAACAATCGATCCCACAACATGGTACTTCCCGTGGTCTCCATGGAAACAAACCACTCAAAGACCAGGCTGTGTGTCATGACCGCGACAATATTACGCTGGTCGTTCGATCATAAGAGTGTCCTCATCATGACCTAATTCCTAAATGTACCTGCCTTGACGTTGGCATGCCCTGAACAAAGTGCCATCGTATTCCAGCTATAGTAGAGAGGTCTCACACAATAAAAAGGCATTACCGAGCATGAGCATGGCGGTGACGATGATGTTGGTGGTTAGGGCGAAGGCGCAGAACACCTTGTGAGTCGTCCTGCCGAAGCGCGCCCTGATCACCTGGAGAAAAGTCTTGGCGCCAGGTGCCCGTATCTTCAGCTGCACGGACAGGGTGGCGAACAACAGGATCTGGATTGTCGCCCCTGCCGCGTACCAGAAGGGTCCACTGATGCCATACTGAAAATAACCAAAGGAAACACACTAGGAAACAATAATTACATACTAGGAAACAATAGGAAACACACCAGCAAACACACAACCAGAAGGGCCCACTGGTGCTGTACTGTAAATAACACAAGGAAACACACTAGAGACAAAAGGTTACACACTTCCAGAAGGGCCCACTGATGCCGTACTGAAAATAACACACGGAAACACAAGGAAACAATAGGAAACACACTAGTAAACACACTACCAGGAGGGCCCACTGATGCCGTACTGAAAATAACACAAGGAAACACACAAGGAAACAATAGGAAACACACTAGTAAATACACTACCTGAAGGGCCCACTGATGCCGTACTGAACATAACACAAGGAAACACACAAGGAAACAATAGGAAACACACTAGCAGAAAGGCCAACTGATGCCGTATTGAAAATAATACAAGGAAACACACTAGGAAACACTCTAGCAGAAGGGCCCACTGATGCCTTACTGAAAACAACACAAGGAAACACTCTAGCAGAAGGGCCCACTGATGCCGTACTGAAAACAACACAAGGAAACACACTAGGAAACACTCTAGCAGAAGGGCCCACTGATGCCTTACTGAAAACAACACAAGGACACACTCTAGCAGAAGGGCCCACTGATGCCGTACTGAAAACAACACAAGGAAACACACTAGGAAACACTAGGAAACACACTAGCAGAAGGGCCCACTGACGCCGTACAGAACATAACGCAAGGAAACACACCAGGAAACAATGGGAAACACACTAGCAGAAGGGCCCACAGATGTTGTACTGAAAATACCAAAGAGTTCCTTCATTGCAAATTGTGCCATTTGGAACGATCCCAAAGGAGCTATCTGTTTAAACAAAGATTGTCGAAGCAGCCCGACAGTGTCACGATTAGGAAATCATTACGTGCTGGTGTTGAATCACGCGGGAACAAATGCTGTCGTGATTCGGATGTCTTTGACATCATATACACAGTGCATGCTGAGGTATAAACTAGGTTTGTCATATCGACCAAAGACGCCTTACTTTACTGGCGACTGTGGACGACTGCAGCAGTGTGGCGGCCCACGTCCACTGGGAGACGATCGTTGTGGCTGTCAGTCCGGCGTTCACCGTCCCCCCAGCGTCAAACGCCGTGTCAAGATTGTTCTGTAAAATAGGTGAACATTAATTTCTTTTTTAAATCCTCTATCAATCAGTGTGTGAGTGAGTGAGTGAGTGAGCAAGCAAGTGAGCGAGTGAGTGAGTGAGTGAGCGAGTGAGTGTTGATACATTGTGTACGATATATGTGAAAACAATATGTCGATCGCTATCTGGAATTCCGTGATGTCATTCTACGTCGCCTTCAGGAAAGGGAATCCTGTATATCACTAACAGTCTCACTGTCCTCTGGGGCCAGTCCCGGGGTCACATTACACCATCATTGTGATTAGTCATTCACCCCCGTGATGTGGGACGCGCGTTCGCTCTGTCACCCGGCGACAGGTAGCGGAGTACCTAGCATGATGTAAAATACGGTTGCCACATGTCGCTACACAAAGGCAGACAACTGTCGCAGATCGATTTGATGATACAGACATTTGACACAGATCGAACTTCTAAGGGGCGTCTATCACAGACCGATATACCTAAATATGAATTTGTAACAGATCGATATAACGAGACAGGTATTTGTCACAGATCGATATAACGATACAGTCGTTTGTCACAGATCGATATAAGGACACAGATATTTGTCACAGATCGATATAACGAGACAGATATTTGTCACAGATTGAAATACTGAGATAACAGATCGATACTCTGACAAACATAATAGTATTAGTAACAGATCGACTCACCTAGGGACAGATTTTAAGTCAACCCTGGAACCTCAATCAAATCTAAATCGTTCTGAGACATCGCATCCAATTCTTCTTCAAACAAATATTTGATAATTACGACTGCTTACAAATCTGCTTCTAATATCTTTATGGGAACAATCCGTCTGACGCCATGATATCCACGCGAAGTAATTGCATGGAAATTACGATGTAATCTAAACCCTTCATGTTGGTCTCACCCGGCAGGTGAAGAGTCAAAACCTTCTCCCAGGGTACAAGACAAGACAATGGATGTCGGGATAAACACGGATCACGCTGTATATCGCTACGTTATCGCCAGTGTACAAGACAAGACAATGGATGTCGGGATAAACACGGATCACGCTGTATATCGCTACGTTATCGCCAGTGTACAAGACAAGACAATGGATGTCGGGATAAACACGGATCACGCTGTATATCGCTACGTTATCGCCAGTGTACAAGACAAGACAATGGATGTCGGGATAAACACGGATCACGCTGTATAACGCTACGTTATCGCCAGTGTACAAGACAAGACAATGGATGTCGGGATAAACACGGATCACGCTGTATATCGCTACGTTATCGCCAGTGTACAAGACAAGACAATGGATGTCGGGATAAACACGGATCACGCTGTATAACGCTACCCGCAAGTGTACAAGACTAGACAATGGATGTCGGGATAAACACGGATAACGCTGTATAACGCTACGTTATCGCCAGTGTACAAGACTAGACAATGGATGTAGGAGATTCCTAGTGTTTCTTTATATGGGGCACGTATTACAAGAATGTCCGTTGAAGCCGAATTTCGATCTGTATCATCACGACGGTACAGTGATGACCTTGACGGTACAGTGATGACCTTGACGGTACAGTGATGACGCTGGCGATACAGTGATGACGCTGACGGTACAGTGATGACCTTGACGGTACAGTGATGACGCTGACGGTACAGTGATGACCTTGACGGTACAGTGATGACCTTGACGGTACAGTGATGACGCTGACGGTACAGTGATGACCTTGACGGTACAGTGATGACGCTGGCGATACAGTAATGACGCTGACGTTATGTCAGTTTTGACATTCGACTAAGCGACAGAAATAAACGAGACCACACACACTCCAACATCAATTGACTTAAACACAATATAATGACGTGTAAGTAGGAGTGTGATCAGTCACATGTCACAGCAGCTGAATAACTGCGTTGGACGACTGATGAACTCAACACCTGAGATGGTTTACGATTCTCCTGCAAATACAATCACTGTATTGTCTGGTCCAGCCTCGATTATTTACAGACCGCCGTCATATAGCTGGAACATTGCTGAGTGCGGCGTTAAACAACAAAAAATCAAAATCCTTCAAATACAAACTGGCACATTTGTAAATTTATTCATTTCTGAAATGTATTTGCTTGTCATCAGCTTCTGAAATGTCAGTGAAAGCCACGTGATCCGTGTTTAGCGTTGGGCATGTTTTGTAATCAAGGTAAACTGAACATGTTATTGCTATTGCAGGATATTAATACAATTATTTGATTATTCTCCCGCGCTACATGTATTTCGCTTGCGAAAACGTTATGTAGCAAATAATTGTAAAATTGCCACAAATATGACTTTTGATGAGTCAAAGTATGGTATTTCTAATATAACTCCATTCTTTGGCACCTAAAAGGCCGTTCCATGGCGTCAATAGCAGGAATCTGACCGTGGCTGCTGTAGCCCACAGTTAGTTGTGCCATCTTCCCATCTCTTCACACACGATTTCGCCGACATTAATGTAAACAATATGAATGAAATATTGAATAAAATTGATAAAAATATTACAAACAGATATACAATGAACACGTTTTAAAACCAGATAGTATAATAATGGGATTGAATGGCGTACTTCTGTTGGAATTTTTGACTGGTATTTCCGGTGTTACATGCTCGCGGTGATCAGCTGATAATGTTTTTTGAGATGCCGAAAAACATCGTGTCAGTTCAAAACTTGAGCTTATTAACAATGGTAGTAAGTTTTTGGGAGCGATGCTTCACCGCCCTCTATAACCGAGGTAGCGCTATATTGAAGGGCGCAATAGGGAGGGGATACTGTACGTAAGATTTGCGTTCTATATCGTGGCGTATCGATTATAGGTCCACGTGTATCGTATCGTGGACCAAATATCCCAATGCATCGGACTTTCGGCGTATAGTTTCACCCTTACTGTTTTCAGCGTTGGGCATTTTCGTAATTAAGAATTGAAGGTTCATGAAATATATTACTAAAACGAGGCAAACTAATGTACACAGGGGATAACGGGGTCGCCAGCAGGTGATGACGTCATGTACACAGGGGATAACGGGGTCGCCAGCAGGTGATGACGTCATGTACACAGGGGATAACGGGGTCGCCTGCAGGTGATGACGTCATGTACACAGGGGATAACGGGGTCGCCTGCAGGTGATGACGTCATGTACACAGGGGATAACGGGGTCGCCAGCAGGTGATGACGTCATGTACACAGGGGATAACGGGGTCGCCTGCAGGTGATGACGTCATGTACACAGGGGATAACGGGGTCGCCAGCAGGGGATGACGTCATGTACACAGGGGATAACGGGGTCGCCAGCAGGTGATGACGTCATGTACACAGGGGATAACGGGGTCGCCAGCAGGTGATGACGTCATGTACACAGGGGATAACGGGGTCGCCAGCAGGGGATGACGTCATGTACACAGGGGATAACGGGGTCGCCAGCAGGTGATGACGTCATGTACACAGGGAACAACGGGGTCGCCAGCAGGTGATGACGTCATGTACACAGGGGATAACGGGGTCGCCAGCAGGTGATGACGTCATGTACACAGGGGATAACGGGGTCGCCAGCAGGTGATGACGTCATGTACACAGGGGACAACGGGGTCGCCTGCAGGTGATGACGTCATGTACACAGGGGACAACGGGGTCGCCTGCAGGTGATGACGTCATGTACACAGGGGATAACGGGGTCGCCAGCAGGTGATGACGTCATGTACACAGGGGATAACGGGGTCGCCAGCAGGTGATGACGTCATGTACACAGGGGATAACGGGGTCGCCAGCAGGTGATGACGTCATGTACACAGGGGATAACGGGGTCGCCAGCAGGTGATGACGTCATGTACACAGGGGATAACGGGGTCGCCAGCAGGTGATGACGTCATGTACACAGGGGATAACGGGGTCGCCAGCAGGTGATGACGTCATGTACACAGGGGACAACGGGGTCGCCTGCAGGTGATGACGTCATGTACACAGGGGATAACGGGGTCGCCAGCAGGTGATGACGTCATGTACACAGGGGATAACGGGGTCGCCTGCAGGTGATGACGTCATGTACACAGGGGATAACAGGGTCGCCAGCAGGTGATGACGTCATGTACACAGGGGACAACGGGGTCGCCAGCAGGTGATGACGTCATGTACACAGGGGACAACGGGGTCGCCAGCAGGTGATGACGTCATGTACACAGGGGACAACGGGGTCGCCAGCAGGTGATGACGTCATGTACACAGGGAACAACGGGGTCGCCAGCAGGTGATGACGTCATGTACACAGGGGACAACGGGGTCGCCAGCAGGTGATGACGTCATGTACACAGGGAACAACGGGGTCGCCAGCAGGTGATGACGTCATGTACACAGGGGATAACGGGGTCGCCAGCAGGTGATGACGTCATGTACACAGGGAACAACGGGGTCGCCAGCAGGTGATGACGTCATGTACACAGGGAACAACGGGGTCGCCAGCAGGTGATGACGTCATGTACACAGGGGACAACGGGGTCGCCTGCAGGTGATGACGTCATGTACACAGGGGACAACGGGGTCGCCTGCAGGTGATGACGTCATGTACACAGGGGACAACGGGGTCGCCTGCAGGTGATGACGTCATGTACACAGGGGACAACGGGGTCGCCTGCAGGTGATGACGTCATGTACACAGGGGACAACGGGGTCGCCTGCAGGTGATGACGTCATGTACACAGGGGATAACGGGGTGGCCAGCAGGGGATGACGTCATGTTCACAGGGGATAACGGGGTTGCCAGCAGGTGATGACGTCATGGTCACAGGGGATAACGGGGTCACCAGCTGTGGTCGCTCACTTGTAGATCATATCCCCCTACTTTGTTCGTCATGTCAACAGAATATTATTTTTAACAGTAATAAATCAGCAGACAGCTGCGCTTTCTCACGGTAATGAATAGCGCAGTTTGGATCACAAGACACTGACGGTCGGAACAATAAATCACAGCCAAACAA